AAAAAAAAAAAAAAAAGAAAGAAATACCCGAAAGAGGGCAGTACCAGAGAACACCTTTAATTCGCTCGCTTTGCTTGTGGGCTAGAAGTGAAGGCTTATAAGTTGTGGACTTGGAAGAGTCTGGCACACACAGCTTTTTACCCTAGAATCTTGAGTGTGAAAATTCACTCACGCAGCTACTACGCGTCAAACATCAGCTAAAACAGCTCAGCACCGCACAGGGGAGGCACGAAATGGGAATTGCCGTCCCTGCCTTTGCAAGCGGTCCACAGACTGCTTTGGGAACGGTGGCTGGTCAAGGAGACACAACAAGAAACACGAAAGAAGGGCACACGCAGCCCGTGCTTTCCAGGATCCAGGCAGGGCACCGACGGGGCCGAGAAGAGAGTTACAGACGTCCTGTCAACCACCGCAACTGCCCTCTGCCCCCATGTATTTTGAGGATTGGGTGAACCACCACTTAGGAGGACGCCCAGAACTTGAGGTACCCAGTAGATGTTAGTTTTCTTCCTTCTATCTCTGCCCAATGGGTCCAGATTCTTTTTGGTGTGTTCTTGCTCACTGTCTGTGCTTTCTCCCCCAGGGCAGCCTACAGCCCCTTGCTGCGCCAGGTTTGGAACATTATTCTCCTTCAAGGTCAACATTGCTTTCTTCATCTCCTCTCTGAACCATTTCTAGCTAACTGGAAATTGAATTATGATTTTTTTTTTTTTGAATTATGATTTTTTTTTTCTACCATTTCTTTACAGACAATTCACAAATGATGCTATTTAATGCTTATCACAAAAATAACATACCTCAATCAGAACTGTTACAGATGAGGGCTTAATAAGGACTGTTTGATTATGGCAACAATGAGCAGGAGAAAAAGAAAGAAATAATTAAGCATTTTCTCAACACTTATTTGAATTATGCCCTTTGGCACTGTTGATGAAAACAAAACAGAAATCAACTTTGTGGCTTCAATTAAACACTTGCTAGCATAGACTGTTCACACCACTAAACAAGAGACTCTAAATGCTTCCTACACTTTCCCTCCAGATCATCCCCTAAAGACAAATGAGGTGAATAGGTGCCCTGGGGATTTGGGGAATTCTATAACTTAAAAGCAACAAATTTGCTAATGGCTATTGGTCTATCTTAAAAATCTTTTTACATTTTTGTTTCTATTCCTGTGTATATTCATGTTTGTTTTAATAGAAAATAATATTTTCTGCCCATTTTTTCAGGGAATATTGACAAGCTGGGAAAAAAACCTCATATTTCCCTGGCAGTCTGAAGTATACTCTGAAATGACACTTCATACCATCCCTCTTCTCCTCCTTTCCCATGGTATGTGCACAATCCCCAGACTGAAGAACACAGTTCCATCCCATAAAGAAGGAAATATATTGGATATTGAGACACAGAATATTTGCTTATTCTAACAAAATCGTAGGACTCCTCCCAATTCCAGAGACGTAAGTACCACAGGACAGGGAAGGCAAAGTCACACTAGCCATGAAAGGAAATCTTTCCTGATGTACCCTAAAAGATGCAAACCAGTAAAGAGCTAGAAGGAACACAGATGCAGTGGAAAATGACAACCCAATCAGGACACAGGGCCAGAGAGTCACATCACACCTAGAAGTAAAAACCAGAATGACAGCACCTTATCAATATCCTCCCTTTCCTGAGGAATGAAGAAGCGCATTTTTCCCTTTCTGCTAGCTCCTGGTTTTCTGTGCTTACCAACGCGCACATACTCTTTACATAAAATATAAAGGAAATGGTTGCTTTAGGCAGTCAGCAGGGTCCCAAAGCATAACACTCATGCTTATTAATTGGCAAGAAATAATGGATACTTGATTTGAATTTATGTGTTTTATTAGTTTGTTGGGATCTGGGAGAGAGGGAAGGGTATTGTCTGTTTAAATAATAAAACATTTTTTTTTAAAGGCAGAAAAAACCCCCAAGTAAAACAGTTGCTTCAGGAGGAATGGGGCAGGCCAGAGGAAAGGCATCAACAACCATCAGGCCTGGGTAGACACCGAGGAGGTGCCCTCTTAACAAGGGGTTTCTAAGGGCAGGGAGGAAAAGGGGTGACAGATGGTAGCCAGGCCCGGACGCTGAAGGACAGACAGCAGGAATGGCTCGGGGGAAGCAGAACAGAGGTTGGTCCGAGCTCTCACAGCAGAGGACTGTGGGCCAGAAGATTTTCGTGGGCATCTAATACTTGGATGTTTACCTGGCAGGCGGCAGAAGTGGAAACCAGACTAGAGGTGGTAGTGGCCCGGAGCTGCCTGCAAGGATCGTAATGAGGACTCACCACCTACAAGTTATGCTTGGAGATGCCAGGGACTCACTGCCCACATCTTTTCCATCGCCGTATTTGACTTTTACTCAATTCATTCTAA